CATCATACTGTAACTTACCATTCTACAACACAACTCTTCATCATACTGTAACTTACCATTCTACAACACAACTCTTCATCATACTGTAACTTACCATTCTATAACACAACTCTTCATCATACTGTAACTTACCATTCTACAACACAACTCTTCATCATACTGTAACTTACCATTATCACCACCACCATAATGTTAAACACATGATTACAACGAACATTCTCATTTGATACATTTAGGAGATAAAAATTGTATGTATGCATACATTTTGTCACAATTGTACCTGGTGGCTGTACATGCTCGCTGCTGGCTGTGCCGTCAGGGCCTCCGTGTAGCCTCCCGTCTGGGTGATCACGTGCCTTAGGGCGTTCGCCTGAGAAAATGAACATAAAAAAAAAACACATTTCTTAAATATACACCTGATTTACGAGCAGAGACGGGTAATTAACAATTACTAGGTACGGTTGAGATCGTATTATAATAACTCTATGTTCAACAAGTAGCATCAGTATCGGTGTTATAAGTTGTGTTGTTACGGTGTTACAAGTTGTGTGTTGTTTTCTATTAGTGTTTGATTTAGTACCCCCCTCCCCCTCCCGTCCCGTCCAACTTCAAACAAGACTTCTTTCATTCATGACAATAAAGTACTAGTGAAAACGCACCATTCGTAGACTCACAATAGTCTTGGGTTAATTTTAATTCTGATCTATACAGGTGGCTTGCTTTGATCAGCGGATACTTCTGCTTAAGTTCAAAGACAATATTTGTGCGGACAGTCTTACAGGGAAGCACCTCCTGAATACCGGCAAGCCTGTCGGTAACAACTCCTCACTGTGGACCGGCGCACTTATAAAACCAAGTGATTCACATATGGGGAATTCTGACTCATCTGACCAATCATTACGGGTAATTCTGACTCATCTGCCAGTAATCTGCTCATTCAGCACAAACTCCGCGTTGGAATCTGATTACCATTTCCTAATGAGGGTGACGCAGAACACGTTCGATTATTACACGATTGCTAAGCCTAGAAGCTTACAGGTTCGATTATCTTACGATCTCTAAGCCTAGAAACATACTTTCGGTTATCACACGATCGCTAAGCTAAGAAGCTTACATTCGATTATCACACGATCGCTAAGCCTAGAAGCTTACACTTTCGGTTATCACAATATGGCTAAGCCTAGAAGCTTACACGTTCGGTTATCACAATATGGCTAAGCCTAGAAGCTTACACGTTTGGTTATCAAAAGATGGCTAAGCCTAGAAGCTTACACGTTCGGTTATCACACGATCGCTAAGCCTAGAAGCTTACACGTTCGGTTATCACACGATCGCTAAGCCTAGAAGCTTAGGGCCGAAGGCCAGTTCTACCTCTTAGTTTGTACCATTTGAACTCTGTTACAAGTATAAATATATATTTTATATTTTTCCAAATGATACAAAGACACTTTGTCTCGTGAACTATAAAACTAATATACATGACTTTGCTATTTCATTCACTATTTACTTTCTTTATAAATAACTTACCCTCTCCAAACATAGCATGATAAGTGGTTTCTGTGTGTGTTGCCATACTATGCTTAAACCTTGTTGTTTTTAGGTGTGTTTGTTTGTTTCAGCGCAAAGCCACATTGACCTATCTGCTGTCTCCCCCGCGAGAAATCTAACCCCTGATTTTAGGGATGTTGCAAGATCTTAATGAAATTTCTAGATAACTTTATCTATTGTACGTTTCAAACATAACTAACATGGATTCAGTTTTATGTAATTTTAAGTATACGTACTTGTGACTGGACGTTCGCTCCCATGGTGGAGACTGGTTGATAAGAGTCGCCACCGTTCATACTCATGTTGTAAAGACCGTCACTCGGTGGCGCTGCACCAGGTGGAGGACTGATGATCTGCCCCTGTGATGTTGGTACCATGTTGTAACCGCCGGGACCGGAAGCTGAAAGAAGAATAAGTTATCATCATACTGCACGTCAGTGACAGGAAGATGACGAATACTTTATTACGTCAACAACTGAAGCTTTGAAGATCGTTTCCCTCCACGTGATGAAGAAACTCCTAGATTATCATCCATTGTGAGACACGTGCGAGTTATTCGTCGCAACTCAATATACTTCCTTTTTATAAAAATGGGTGCTTAAAACCCTGACATAAGTACATTTAAGTTAAATACTAAAAATATAGAATGAACGTAAAGTAAGATCCTAAAAACGCTACAAGTTCATTTAATCGTATTATTGGGCGTTACTTGTAAAGGCAGATTCTGGATATCCGGAAACATTGATGCATAACAGGAACAACAGGACTATTTCACCGGATTATTTTACCCTAATTCATCAAATGGCACATCGTTATATTTCTTGAGGAGTTTGCTCTGACTCTGAATATTGACATGAGGATATGACATTTAAAGTAAACATGAAATGTTGTACATACTTCACGAAGTCGGAAGTAGAGGTCGTGTAAGTAGTTCCGACTTCAGGAAGCCGGAAGTAGCGGATGTAAGAAGTTCTGACTTAACGAAGCCGGAAGTAGAGGTTGTAAGAAGTTCTGATTTCACGAAGTCGGTAGTAGAAGTTGTAAGAAGTACTGACTTCACGATGTCGGAAGTACAGGTTGTGTAAGAAGTTCTGACTTCACGAAGCCGGAAGTAGAGGTTGTGTAAGATGTTATGACTTCACGAAGCCGGAAGTAGAGGTTGTGTAAGAAGTTATGACTTCACGAAGCCGGAAGTAGAGGTTGTGTAAGAAGTTATGACTTCACGAAGTCAGAATCTACTGACTATGGCGTTCAGACTGTGCTGACGTCTCGAGGTCAGGTTCCTCTGACCTCACGAGTTCATATTTTGCTGACTTTCTGAGTGTAAGTTCTGCTGACTCCTGAAGTTCAGGTTCTGTGACTTTTTGAGGTCAGGTTGTGTTGAGTTCTTGGTAAGAAGTTCTGCCGAATTCTTCAGATGTCCAGCGTAATCACACGGACACGCTGGACACCTACGCTTAATTTCAACGTATGTGTTCTGAATGTTATATTTATGGCAAAGCTACTACGACTACCAGCCGCCGTGAGGGCGTTTTGAACTACTGACCACAGAGAAGGCAGTCATTTAGCAGCATCCTACCATCCACGCAAAGGGATTGACTGTAACTTTTCTAACGCACACACTGCTTAAAACGTGGGGAATATTTTGTGGCATCGCACGGATTAGAATCCTACTCGCCAGTTCCAAAATCCAGAGCCCTAATACAGTTCCAAACCATCCCTTTGAAGGGATAATTTTGGAACAAGCTTTTGTGAGGTATTAAAGTTGACAGAAATCCCCCCCCCCACCGATAGTATCAAATATCAGGCATGAGGAATAAATGGAATACCTTCTAAATGCACGATGAAAGAATGTCTACGTAAGTGTTAGATTTTGTGTTCTAAACGGGCACAATAACAAAATATGTATGTTTCATATGCGAAAGCTTTCCTGCCACGGTTTTTGAGAGGGGGGTCTTGACCCTGCTGGTAAACGCATTTTAAAAATCCTTACTTTAAAACTGAGCACATTATTTTCCCATTTATTTTGGGGGATTCTATGTAGATTCCAAATTGCATATTCAATTAAACGAGCAGGAAACGTTTATTGCAGAACTCCCCTCTTCAATGTGCATGCTAAGCACGTGATTATTCTGTAATTCCTCGTGTATCAGTTGTAGATATGTTGTACAAGTGGTCGGAAAATTGCGAGCACTTTTGTCAACTTGGTGAGAGATTTCAAGTTGATCGCTAAAAAACAGACACACACCAAAAAAAAACATTGTCTTTTTTTTTACTTTGCTGGAGTAACGTCCATTTTAACACCCATTAGAAACCCTAAAATATTTATAGAATTTTGAAAACATTGAGTGACGCGAAAAGAAAATAATACAGTAGAAAGTTTACATCTCGTTAACGTGAGTTTAATGATCCACAGTTTTTTATTGATTCTTTTTTTTTCGTGAAACTAACCTGCTTTTAACCACTTGATGACCTCCCCTTGGCTCTCCCCCTACAGTTTTAAGGACCGAAACTTTGTAGACTAGTTAGATAGGGGAGGGGGGTCAATGTGACTCGTTGTCTGTTTTCTTCCACAGTACCATATTAAACTATTACATGCTGTTGGCGTGTATGAAATTCCCAAGTACTGCACCAAACTGGCTGTTGGTATGTGTAAAATTCCCCTTTTAAAGGCTTGTCATAACAATTCACCTTAGTCTTTGATGACAGTAAGACTCTGAGTTTTGTTCCATCTTTACTGACAGTAAGACTCTGAGTTCTGTTCCATCTTTACTGACAGTAACACTCTTACTTCTGTTCCATCTTGACTGACAGTAAGACTCCTGACTTCTGTTCCATCTTCACTGACAGTAAGACTCTGAGTTCTGTTCCAGCTTTACTGACAGTAACACTCTTACTTCTGTTCCATCTTTACTGACAGTAACACTCTTACTTCTGTTCCATCTTTACTGATAGTAAGACTCTGAGTTCTGTTCCAGCTTTACTGACAGTAACACTCTTACTTCTGTTCCATCTTTACTGACAGTAAGACCCTTACTTCTGTTCCATCTTTACTGACAGCAAGATTTTGAATCATGTTCTATTCAGCGCTTGAATAGCGTTCAGTTTCCTTTTTTAAACTTATCAAATCACTGGTAACGTCGAATCAGAAAAGGATTTGTGAAACAGGTAGAAATTACCACAATAATCAACAAAATTAATCCCTGATAAAAACTGGGTTACAAGAAATGCAACGTTTCACTGACTTAACTCAGATATACGTTAGATTAGTAAGATGTCCTAAACGTGAATGTTTGTTTGTTACAGACTACGCTAGCGCCACCTATGGTAGCCTTCTCTAATTTTAAACTTATAGACTAGACTAGAGGGGAAGGAAGCTATCGTCAACGGCACCCACCGTCAATTATTGGGTTACACTAATCGAATAGTAGTATTTGACCATCACTTCTATAACGCACTCATGGTCCCAAAGTACAACAGCCCGTTTCTGCTACAACGAGAGGCGAGCTATGGGCCCTCGGATTTACAATCTGACATGCCAAGTCTGGGCCGACCCAACAGATCAACGTAAACAGGACTAAATTAATTCGGACACTCCTCGTTTTGCTATGAAAAACTTTGTATTTCAGACTGCTTAAACACTTCTGGGGCCGAGTGTGGTGGCCCAGTGATTAGTGTGTCAGGCTATGGATCTGCGGGTCCAATATCAATGTCCTATTACCGCACTATTGGGCCTTGGTTGCATTATAAGGAAGAGTTCCCCATATCATTCGGTCAGACTAGAGCAGTGAAAGAACCTGAGATGTTGACTAACTGATTTCTACCAGTTCAAAACTAGAGAAGGCTGGCGCAGACAGTCCTTGTGAACATCCGAACAGAAACAAAAAAAAAATATTTTGAAGAAAAGAAAATCGTTTCCTGGAACAGAGAGGAAGTGTTAACATGTGTTACTTTATGTATACATAGGGAGGAAATAGGAAGTGTTAACATGTGTTACTTTATGTATACATAGGGAGGAAATAGGAAGTGTTAACATGTGTTACTTTATGTATACATAGGGAGGAAATAGGAAGTGTTAACATGTGTTACTTTATGTATACATAGGGAGGAAATAGGAAGTGTTAACATGTGTTACTTTATGTATACATAGGGAGGAAATAGGAAGTGTTAACATGTGTTACTTTATGTATACATAGGGAGGAATTAAGAAGTGTTAAATGTGTTACTTTATGTATACATAGGGAGGAAATAGGAAGTGTTAACATGTGTTACTTTATGTATACATAGGGAGGAAATAGGAAGTGTTAACATGTGTTACTTTATGTATACATAGGGAGGAAATAAGAAGTGTTAAAATGTGTTACTTTATGTATACATAGGGAGGAAATAGGAAGTGTTAACTTGTGTTACATGGAGAAACAGTAAAGGGTACCGAATTGTATAATTTTACGTAAACACGAGATTAAAAACAGGAAGTAATAAATTCCACTTACTTTACGTAGTGAGGTCAGAGGTCAGAAGGTTCATTATACCCTCATCAAAAGAATTAGGACAATTGGAAAATTAACAAATGTTTTTAACATATTTAATTCAGGATATCAGATGGAAGAGGAACTTTGTCAATTTACTAATTATTAAATGTGCAATCTTATCAAAAGAGGGCGCGGGTAACAACGAAAGGTCAACTTTCCGATTGTGTAGCTTTTAGCATTACTTTTAAGAAATACATACTTGATCCCAGCTGTTCTGACTATAAAAACAATCAATCGATTTATCTTGATGACGAAAAACAAGAATTCTTTTCACTTTTACTCATTCGAGCATAAACACTTACAGTGATTTTACGATTAGGGGAAATATGTTACAAACGCACACACACAAATAATCGATTGATTAAAAAAACTTTGAGAATTAAGCCTAGTTCCAAGTTTGTTACCGAATGGAAAAAAAAATAAAAGCTGAACTGCTGACTAAACATTCGTTTATCTTCAATATAACCAGTAACGCTTAGTTAGCAAAAAAAAAAAAAGCTTTCCCATTTTCGGGATTAGATTTTTTCCCCCCCTCCCTTTTCAATCTCGTTTGACAATCACTCCCTGGCTGGAAGATCATCCCCCTCTCTATTCGCGAAATTCTTACCCATTTCGTCGGGTGTCTGGGTTGAAGAAATATTGGAACGTTGGAGCCATCAAGAAATGGAATGGAAATGAAGGGAATAGACAGGTTTAATGCACGAGAAATGCGAAATATTGGAGCCAGTCTGTTGACGAAGTTTGGAGATGATAAAAAAAAAAGAAGCCAATGAAAGAGAGAGGCAATGAGAAACAACAAAAACAAGAAAAATATATATATTCGCTAGAAAACGAAGGGCTATTGACGCCGCTATTCATATAAAACATACAGATTGGTCAGATCTAACGAACGGGTAGATGTAGAACAATATATGAAAAGTGCTCCGCCAACCTTAGCGTCAAAACTTTGATGTATTAATACTATTACATTTCTTGGTGTCAGAGTCAGATAAATGGTACAGTTCGGAATTACTGCCCAGGGGTAGAAAAGCAACATGAAATAAAACGATCCCATAAATATATGCCGACTGAATACAATAACGGCAGTTAATACGCCCGGACGCACGAGCAAATGTCCCTCTTATGGCCGTGCACGTTCGCTGGATGATGGGATGTCAGCTAAGTATTTAACACCGACTGACTTCCGACAATGTGGAGAAGCCATCTACCGTTCATCATCCCACGCTGAGGGGTGGCCAAGTCTGAAGTAGCGCGTGACTCCTAAAATTTACATGTCTATAAACGACAACGTATTCCGAAAATGGCGACCATTATGACTTGGTAGTCTCAGAATAATAGGGACATAAACATAACTTTTCTATCATCGGGTCATAAGGCTACAAATACTGCTAATACGGCCTATTACGATATACAATAGCATGTATACCCCCCACCCCTATAAAGCGCCCTTCTTCTGTAGCTACATAACGGCTGACATGTCTAGATAAGTGTACCTGGGGGGGGGGGGGTAATTTATGAGTTCGAGTCTGTGTAGGGTAAAAACAAAACAAAAAAACCAACAAATAATTTGCATATGTGCATGACCCCCATGGTTGTGTATATTTTGTTACCCCTGCATCTTGTAGTGTTAAAACAGATCTGTGTGGTATGATACTGACCTCTCGCACTTTCAAATACTGTGTGTGAAGAGCCTAGCCTATCTTAAGTTCAAGGTTGTTTCATAAGTAAAATGCATCAAGTTATTCACACTACAACACAAAGTTTTACACAAGGATGTTTGTGTGAAAAATAATTATTTTGTAAGTAAGATTAGCTGAAACTTACAGATATTAAATAACTGTCAAACGTACAGAAGTTAAATTAACATCTAACTGAAAGGTCTAACTTAAACATATAGATTAAATAAACGTCTAGCTGTAACTCACATAAATTAAACAAACGTCTAACTGAAACAATAACTTCCAACTAAAACATACAGAAGTTAAATAACGTCTAGTTGAAATGTATAAATATTAAATAAACGTCTAGTTGAAATATATAGACATTAAATAAACGTCTAGTTGAAATGTATAAATATTAAATAAATGTCTAGTTGAAATGTATAGATATTAAATAAACGTCTAACTGAAACAATAACTTCTAACTAAACATTACATAAGTTAAATAACGTCTAGTTGAAATGTATAAATATTAAATAAACGTCTAGTTGAAATATATAGATATTAAATAAACGTCTAGTTGAAATGTATAAATATTAAATAAACGTCTAACTGAAACAATAACTTCTAACTAAACATTACATAAGTTAAATAAACGTCTATCTGAAATGTATAAATAATAAAAAAGTCTAACTGAAACGTATAATTATGAAATAAATGTCCTTTGTACATAATGTTATATATCCGAAACCTAAAAATAAATCCATTAAACAAACGTCCTTTATATCCAAAATTATATAACTTACATGTATAAACATGTTTGTATTAATATCACTCATCAGTACAGTTTTCTGTTGTATTTTTTATCAATAAGTATTGAATTCTATACGTAAAACTATATTAAAACTTTGAAATATTATGTCACTAAAAATCCTTCATACATATATTATTTGCAGACAGCAAATATTTAATATTTTATAAGAATAATTTTCACATTAATCTATAAACATTTTATTTAAAATTTTACTAATTTGTTTTTCCTTTCCCCAAACTCATCTTCTATTTAAAATGTGTCCGTGTTTATGATGAAACAAGGATTTATATCTTGAAAAATCCAATTATGCACAGAAAGTTCACCTATACAGTCGAAAGCCAATATTACTTTGAAATTTTTCGTATTTGTTTTTACAGAGGCACGTGGGCTGAAAGAAAAGTTTTAACTCTGCACGTGGAATATTTTCGCTGCAGCTGTTGTGAGACTTTCATAATTCCCCAGAACGAAACAAGAATTCATTCCGGAAATAAAATTACAGTGAGAGACGCGGAGATCTCGAAAGGAGGAATAAAAAAAATGCGAAGACAACCTACTACAAAATTACAAAGTTAACGAGTTTTGACGTGCCTTTGTACGTCTGACGTCAGGCTTCAAATTGTAGCGGGTCCCGGATGACTTGATTTGGAAGGAAGGGTATAAAGGCCGAGAATTGTCATTTTTGTCATCTCCACTAAATAGATGTTGACTCGTCTTGATGAATATTCACTTTTTAAATTCTAGGTGGAGCATACGGCGTGTCATACATCGTTCGGTTCCCCTGATAGACACGTTCGATTTCCATCCATTCCCGCCTGTGAGATCCTAATGCCCAGGTTTTCGTCTGAATGCACATTACAATTTATTTTACACAAGCAGTGGCTCGAGCTTTCTAAATGCACGCACGGAATGCAAACGGCTGGATTGAAATCCATTTTGGGAGACGGAAAATAAAAATTTATTAAAGAACCTATAACACGCGGCTTGCGAGGAAAGCTGCTAGGCCTCGACGTGGCCCTTAACGGAGCTTTTCCGAAGCAAAGTAGCCTTTCAATTACCGGGCCAAAATCTTGTCAGAAATTGTCATAGGCGAGAAGAGCGGATTTCAGAGTCACGAGGGGATAACACCAGGCAATGCTGAGAAAATATGATAAATTACTTGGCGAAAAGAAATGGCTGATAGGGAACTTTTAGTTGAGAGAGAGTGTAGACAAAGGTGCCCCCTCTATCGTCCATTCCTTGCAACATATTATGATGATGTCATTTATGCTGAAGACTAGAGAAGGTGTTTTTATTATTGTCGGAAAATGAACGTACGTTGTCACAAGACAAAGAAAAAAACCGGCTAAACATAGTAAGTCGTTCTAGTCTCAAACGTGGGTAAACATAAAACTGAAAATAAAACTACACAAAAAATCTAATCAATATCCGAGCCTGTTCACTGAAACTAAAGAAACCCCAAAACTTTGAAGTCTGTCTTGTCAAGTTTAAAATCTGGAAAAATGCGTACAACGCATGAATAATTATTTAGATAACAAAATCTTTTTAAATAAGCAGGCGTAACAACGACAGTCTTTTTTTTTATCCGACACACAACGACAGTTTTTTTTATCTGACACACAACAACAGTTTTTTTATCTGACACAACGACACTGTTTTTATCCGGTCACACAACGAGACGGTCCTTTTTATCTGAAACATAACGACACAGTCCTTTTTATGTGACACACAATGACACTCCTTTCTTATCTTATACACAACCGCACAGTCCTTTCTTTTTGTCTGACACACAACGATACAGTATCTTTTTATCTGTGACACAGCGACACAGTCCTTTTGTATCTGACACACAGCGACACAGTCCTTTTGTATCTGACACACAACGACACAGTCCTTCTGTATCAGAAACACAACGACACAGTCCTTTTGTATCTGACACACAGCGACACAGTCCTCTTGTATCTGACACACAACGACACAGTTCATTTGTATCAGACACACAACGACACAGTTCATTTGTATCTGACACACAATGACACATTCCTTTTGTATCTGACACACAGCGACACAGTCCTTTTGTATCTGACACACAACGACACAGTTCATTTGTATCTGACACACAATGACACATTCCTTTTGTATCTGACACACAGCGACACAGTCCTTTTGTATCTGACACACAACGACACAGTTCATTTGTATCA